TTTCACGGGGTGTCTCGTGGAATGTTTCGTGAGATGTCGTGTGGCATGTTTCGTGAGGTGTCTCGTGGGATGTTTCGTGGGGTGTGTCGTGGGATGTTTCGTGAGGTGTCGCCCAGTTGGGTATCGTGAAAACGTGACCATGCTGCACATGTCTATATCCTTTTTCCGGGTTCGTGGGTCCATCATGTTTTCGAGCTGCGTGCGGCCGCGGCGACGAAGATTCTTTCAAAGGGGGCACCTTTGGCGCCTCAAGTTTACGAATGCCGCGGTTTCGTCCAGGAAGACCCTGGCCCAAGCCCCGGCAAAAGTTCCGACGCGGCTCGGGACGGCACCATGACGGCCGAAGAACAAGCAAACCCAAGACTACCCGAGCGTTTCCCAAGAGCGGGAGCACCGACCGACATTTCCACTTCCAGACGCCCCCAAGAGGCCCCGATAGGCGCCCAAGAAGCCCCATGACAGGCCTAGGATAAACCCAAGAGCGCGCCCAAGAGAGCACCAAGAGGCTGAAATCCCGCCCTTCCCCTCATCGCCCCTAACATCTGCCCGTCGCCCTCCTCGTCCTCCTCGTCCCCCTCGTCCTCGTCGTCACCCTCGCCCTCGTCCTCGTCCTCGTCGTCCTCCTCCTCCTCTCCATCCTCCTTCCCCCCCTCTTTTCTCCTCCCCATCCCCCTCCTCCTGGCGTCCAGGGTCGGCGGCGCCGGCCGCAAATCCTTCCCACTCAACTGGCCACTGCGGGGTCACAGGGTGGCCACTGCGCCGTGGTCGGCGCGGTGGTCGTACAGGAACGGCTCCGAGAAATTCTGGCGCACCACAGGTCACCAGAGCACCGCGCGCCACGCAGCAGCCCCCGAAAAAGACCAAACTTTGCGCACCGCTGTGCCAGCGTGCGAATGCCCCCTGTGCCTGTGCACGCCGCCAGCATGTACAGCAGAGGGGAGGGCGGAAGGAAGAACAAAGGACGAGTGAGGTGGTTTATGGGCAGTGACATAGTGAACCGATGCAGAGGTCCTGTGCCAACAGTGATCGCCCGATGTACGGACTCAGTGACAAAAGGGGCGAAAACAATCGTACCGAGGATGAGGAAGAAGAGCATAATGGGTACCTCGTCGGCAGTCTTCCCCTCGAGCCTCTTGTTGAGGGAGACGGCCTGGTCACCAGTGAACGGAAATATTCCGACCCCGCCTGGCGGGTCCATCATCGGGCATCTCGCGCAGAATCCCAAACGGTCTCCAAAGCCTCCGGAGGTCCCCCGAGGCCTGCAACTGCGCCCGAAGGCTGACGAGTAGGTCCTCGATCCTCGATGAAGCGGAACCTACTGGCTTCGCCCTCGTCCTCCTTCTGTCATTGGGAGAAGCGGCATGGAAAAACGAGGGCGCAAACGTGGGCGGGACAGAGAACGCAGCACACCGCACCAGGAGGCGCGGGTCTGGACATGGTCAGAGCATCGCACACCGACCGCACAGTCCCTCTGCGTCTTTGCTCCTCCTCCTCCTCCTCATCCATCTCCTTCTCCTCTCTTCCTCCCGCCTCTCATCTTCACCCCGCCTCCTCCTCCTCCGCCTCCTCGCCCTTCTCCTCCCAAATTCTCCTGACCTGTCCTCCCCCTCATCGTCCCACCTCGTTTGTCTCCTCCTTTCCCCTATCCTCCTCCCCCCACCCACGACAGCCGCCAACCCGGCACACGACTCTTGTGTACGAGATGGCCCTTACGCGCGAACTTATGCGGGCAGATGGTGCGCGACTGTTCGCGTAACCGCCCCCCGTCTGAGGTCGCTCGAGCTGAGACACAATCGCCACCGACCTCTCACGCGACAGTCCGCATCGGCTCTTGCGAAACCAGGCATCGGCGATGTTTACATGACCAAGCCCATGCCAGCTGTGGCCGCCACCTCTCCTGCTCCTGCTTTCTCGCCTATCTCTCACTATCCTCCCCCTCCTACCTCTTCTCCCCCCTTCTCGGTGCACATCCTGATCAGGAGATTGATACCCCACCCTCCAGATGAGGATCCTCAACTTTCCAAGCCTTATCCGCCTTCTTCTCCTCATCATCCCCCTCTGCCTCCTCCGAGCCCTCCTGCCCCACGTCCACCTCTCACCTCCTCCCTGCCCCCCCTTTTCCACCCCTCCCGCTACATGTCCTCCAACCTCCTCCTCGTCCACCCCTTCTACTGATAAGTAGCTCCTCCTTGCCGCAACCCTAGACGTGCCGTTGAGGCGGTCCAGACGATGCGAATCAGACTTCCCTGCCATTGAACATCCTGATGCTTCACATCTGCAATAGATGCGATTGTGGAGGGGCAGTCCTTTCCGACTCTCGCCTCAACGCCCCCCACATAGGCCTGTAGAACCGTACACATGCATAATGATGGAGGGTCGTCACTTCACTTTAGCGCTACACGCATTCGCCTTACAAACTTACGTAACAATTAGACGGATTGAGGGCGATACTTTTCAAAAATGGGCATTCGCCTTAGCGCAGCGCGCATTTGCCATGAAGCTTGCAACATATACAAAGTTGGAATGTGATACGTCTGATACGTCTCCAACATGGGTTTCTCACCTTTGCCCCGCGCGTGTCTCCAAACTTGCAACAACCTCACGGGTCGAGATTGTTTGGTGTTCAAATGACGGTTCCCACTTGTTGGGATATCCTAGCACATAACGGTGAATATCTTGAAACACCGTTACAAGTGAACAGATGTAGGGCTGCTGCTCTTCAGAGAAGTGGGACTTTCGCTGGACACCTCGCTGATTTTTGTAATATTGTCTCTTAGAGCTCCTGATAACGCAAGACTGTTCCTTCTCAGAACGGCCCCTCGCCTGAATGATAGGCCCACGAACTCACCTTTCAACGGTTTGCCTAGTATTGGAGTGACGCAGAAGGCTTGAAGGGACGCAGGAGAAGTGACCTTGGGGCGGGAGGATATATTGCAGCATCGTCGGGTTAATCTGAGGTTTGCTCTGGTCCTCCTCTGCCAACCTCCTCCCTCCTCTTCATCCATCTCCTCCTCCTCCTCCTATTCCATCTCCTCCTCCTCCTCCAAGTCCTGCTGCTCCTCCTCCTCCTCATTCTCCCCGTCCTCCTCCTCCTCCTCCAAACCCTCATCCTCCTCCTCCTCCTCATCCTCCTCCTCTTCCTCCTTCTCCTCCTCCCCCTCCTCCTCCTCCGCCTCCGCCCCTCCACCCCCCCTCCTGCTCCTCCTCCTCCTCCTCCTCCTCCTCCTCCTTCTGCTCCTCCTCCTCCTGCTCCTCCTCCTCCTCCTCTTCCATCTTCTCTTCCTCATCGTCCCCCTCCTCCTCCTCCTGCTCCTCCTCCTCCTCCTCCTCTTCCTCCCCTAATGCCTGCTTCCTCGACCTCCTGCTTCTCCTCCCACAGCTCGTCCTCTTCTCCTCCGCCTCCTCCTCCTCCTCCTCCTCCTCCTCCTCCTCCCCCTCGACCTTTTCCTCCTCCTGCTCCTCCTCCTCCTTCTCCTCCTCCCTCTTGTTCTATCTCGTCGTCCCTCTCAACCCATCTCCTCCTACCTCTTTTGCGCCCCCCCCCCATTCCCGCTTTCCCCCCCTCCCGTGCTCCCCCCTCGGCCGCACATTCGCTCTTGCCTTAGCGCAAGGCACATTCGTTTCTAAAAACTTGGATTCGCTTCACGGGTTGAGGGCAACTGGTTTTCTGAATGTGGCTCGCGCCTTCGCGCCGCGCTCAGTCGTTCTCAATTCAAGAGTTTTGTGGGTTGAATGCGGGTCGTTTTCAAAATGGGGCTCTCGCCTTAGCACCGCGCGCATTTGTGTAAACAACTTGCAAGAATTTCACGGCTTGAGGGCGGTTCCTTTTCAAGATGTTGCTCTCGCCTAAGCGCCGCGCACATTCGTCTTACAACGTTGCAAGAGGTTCGCGTATCATCATGGTTAACTATCCAGAAATTGCGTTCTCGAGCGATTCAAGATTGTCAGAGCGCAACAGTTACGTTGGTTCGCGACGGTGATCCCCAAGAATCGTGTTCTGGCGCGGTTCCAGATCGTCAAGACGCAACCGTCAGGTTTACTCGTGGCATTGAAGTCCTAAGAATTGTGTTTTGCACGTTTCAAGAACTTCACACGGTCGTGAAGTGACGGGGCACGCCCCTCAGTGGGAGTGAATCCTTATATGGGGCCTTTGAAGAGGGAGCTTGGAGGGAGGGTGTATCGCGACATCGTTGATGAGACTTGGGTTTACACTGGTCCTCCTCCTCTTCCTCCTCCTCTTCCTCCCTCCTGTCCTGCCTCCTCGTCCCTCTCCGCGCCTCTCCTCCTTCCTCTCTGCCCCGCCAATTCCACTTTCCCCCCTCTCCTCACCACCCCATTCTCTGGAGCTCTCTGAAGGACTCTGGAAGTCCTCGCAGGGACTCCAGAGCCCCCCCCGTCCAACAAGAGCCAAACAGCAGCCAGAAGCCTCGATCACACATCCGCCTCCTTCTCCTTCCCCTCCTTTCCCACTCCCTCCCCTTTCGGGGGCGCGCAAACATGGATTGGCGATCCGTGGATTTCGCGCGCGGTCGCCAAATCCACAGATCGGGGGAGGTGCCCTCCCCAAAATGCGGCCGGTGCCGCCTCGCTCCGCGGCGGCAATCCGCGATTCCCTATGGAAACGGGACCCGTCGCAAATCCACGCCCTCTTGATCCATGTTTGCGATCACCTGATCCCTCCCCTCCTTTCCACCTCCCTCTCCTTCCCCCCCCTTCCCCCCGTCACCCTCCCCCGGCCTCCCCCTCCCCACGCGGCCCCCGGCCCTCCCCGCCGCACGCACGCGCAGGTGGAAGCCACTCCTCCTTCCTTCTCCTCCTCCTCCTCCTCCTCCTCCTCATCATCATCATCATCATCATCATTCCTCCTCCTCCTCCTCCTCCTCCTCCTCCTCCTCATTCCTCCTCCTCCTCCTCATTCCTCCTCCTCCTCCTCCTCCTCCTCCTCTTCCTCCTCCCCCTCCTACCCCTCCGCGTTCCCTTCCCGCGCGGCTCGGCGACAGCCTGCCCTCATGCCGGCACCTCCGCGCCGGCGGCGGCCGCGGCCGCCACGCCGCCCAGGACGTCGCCCGCCTGCTCCGGCGGCGCGGCTGTGGGGGCACCTCCGGGGGGTCTGCGGATACCCCGAGCGGGGGGAGGCAGTGGAGGAGGAGGAGGTAGGCAGAGGTAGGAGGAGGAGGAGGAGGAGGAGGAGGAGGAGGAGGAGGAGGAGGGGTAGCCCAAGCCCAAGCCCTTTGGCGGAGCAGCCCTCCAGGGGCGGCGAGCGAGGGGGGGAAACGAGAAGGAGAAGGCCTTCTCAGAAGGCGGCGGGGCTTCTCAGAAGCCCTCGCGCCTTCTGAGAATCTGTATTATGCGTCTTCGGGGAAGGCTCAGAACACTTCTCAGAAGGCCAGGGGACTTCTGGGCCTTCTGGGAAGGCCCGCCTCTTCTCACTCCCCCCCTGGCTCGCCGCCGAAGGGGGGACGGAGAGTGTGGGACGAGGGGGGAGGAGAAATGATCGGGAAAACGTGAGAAAGGCGGTGGGAGGGTGGGGGGGAATCTCTAGACCTCTCTGCTCTAAAACTCATCTCCACCCCTCCCTTGTCTTAGAGCACTGGTGAATCCGTTTCCCCCGCGTCGTCATCGTCGGCTCGGCGTCGGCCTGGGGTCCCCAGACCTCCGGCACTCCAACTTTGTCGATGGGAGTACCGCAGAGGGCCTGGACAACTTCCCTCGGAGCGGTCCTGCATCACGGTCCGTTTTGTCCCTGAAGGGGCTCAGGCCCAGGGTTCTCTTTTAGTATGTAAACATAGTCCCCCGTGCCCAACTTGAAGGAGGCCGGCGAAATTTTTCCCTGATAAATATCGAGGTCGAAGGAGGCCGGCGAAATTATGTTTGAGGATGTCTCGAGCGAAACGCTTGTTTTTGAAATCCCGATCGATAAATCACAGGGTACGGGCCACCTCAGCACGACCACATCCCAGCACGACCACACCCCAGCACGACCACGCCCCAGCACGACCACGCCCCAGCACGACCACACCCCAGCACGACCACACCCCAGCACGACCACACCCCAGCACGACCACACCCCAGCACCAGCACGACCACACCCCAGCACGACCCGATCGATAAATCACAGGGTGCGGACCACCCCAGCACGACCACACCCCAGCACGACCCCACCCCAGCACGACCCCACCCCAGCACGACCACACGACCACACCCCAGCACGACCACACCCCAGCACGACCCCACCCCCACGCACCCTAGCACGACCACCCCAGCACGACCACACCCCAGCACGACCACACCCCAGCACGACCCCACCCCAGCACGACCCCACCACAGCACGACCACCCCCAGCACGACCACACCCCAGCACGACCACACCCCAGCACGACCCCACCCCAGCAAGACCACACCCCAGCACGACCACACCCCAGCACGACCTCACCACAGCACGACCACACCCCAGCACGACCACGCCCCAGCACGACCACGCCCCAGCACGACCACGCCCCAGCACGACCACCCCCCAGCACGACCACCCCCCAGCACGACCACCCCCCAGCACGACCACCCCCCAGCACGACCACACCCCAGCACGACCACACCCCAACACGACCATACTCCAGCACGACCACACCCCAGCACGACCACACCCAGTCGCACCCCCGTGGAATGTTTCGTGGGGTGTCTGGTTGAGTGGTTGCCTGTTCGTGGGGTGTCTCGTGGAATGTTTCACGGGGTGTCTCGTGGAATGTTTCGTGAGGTGTCTCGTGGGTTGTTTCGTGAGGTGTCTCCTGGGATGTTTCGGGGGGTGTCTCGTGGGATGTTTCGTGAGGTGTCGCCCAGTTGGATATCGTGAAAACGTGACCATGCTGCACATGTCTATATCCCTTTCCGGGTTCGTGGGTCCATCATGTTTCCCTGAAGGGGCTCAGGCCCAGGGATCTCTTTTAGATGGTCCCCCCCGGCCTCGACTTGAGGTGGGCCGGCGAATTTAATCGACGGTAAATATCGAAGTCGAGGTGGGCCAGCAAATTACACTTTGAGGGCGTCCCGAGCGAAACGCTGTTTCTTTTACTCCGATCGATCATACAGACGGCAAAATAATCATTTTCGTTTGTTGTGGATGTCTCGAACGAAACGCTTTGTTTGCAAACTGTGTTGAGGATGTCTCGAGCGAAACGTTTGTTTTGTGCTATAGATCGTTCCTCTCCTGGGGACCAGAATTCAGACGACGTCTCAGGTGAAATGCTTGTTTTCACGAGCCCAGGTCTTGAGGATGTCTCGAGCGAGACGCTTCGTTTCACGCCTCCAGGTGGCCCAGGCGGATGTCTAACATCAGGATGTGTTGAGGATGTCTCGAGCGATCGCTTCTTGTCACGCATTCACGTCGTCCAGGCAGATCTCTAGCATGAGGATGTGTTGAGGATGTCTCTCTCTTGAGAGAGACGCTTGTGTTTGCTCGTCCAGGTCGCCCAGGCGAATGTCTAGCATGAGAATGCGTTGAGGATGTGTTGAGCGAAACGCTTGGTTTCTCTTGTCCAGGTCGCTCAGGCGGATCTCTAACATAAATATGTGTTGTGAATGTGTTGAGCGAAACGCTTGATTTCACATGCCCAGGTCGCCCAGGCGGATGTCTAGCATGAGGATGTGTTCAGAAGATCTCGAGCGATACGCTTGCTTTCACGTGCCCAGGTCGCCCAGGCGGATGCCTAACATGAAGCTGTGTTGAGGCTGCCTCGAGCAAGACGCTTGCTTTCACGTGTCCAGGTCGCCCAGGCGGATGTCTAGAATAAGGTGTTGAGGATGTGTTGAACGAAACGCTTGTTTTCACGTGCCCAGGTCGCCCGGGCGGATGTCTAGCATGAGGATGTGTTGAGGATGTGTTGAGCGAAACGCTTGGGTTCATGTGTCCAGGTCGCTCAGGCAGATGTCTGGCATGAGGATGTGTTGAGAACGTTTCGAGCGAGACGCTTGGTTTCTCGTGTCCAGGTCGTCCAGGCACTGTCTAACATGAGGATTTGTTGAGGGTACCTCGAGCGAAACGCTTGTCGCAGTGGAGTGCGTCGCAGTCAAACCCCGCCCGTACGTGGGGCGTTCCCTAGCGCCCTGGCGTGCCCCCTGGCGCGTCCCTTGCGACGTTCAGGCGTGACGTGCCATGCCACGTCCCCTAGCACGCCACTCGGCGTAACACGTTCCCTGGCTCGTCCTCTGTCGCGTTTCACTGCTCGTCTCCAGGCGTTTCCCCTGCCCGTTTCGTGGCGGGCCCCTTGCAACTTCCCTTGGCATGACGTCCTCTGGCCGCCCCATGGCACGCGCTTTGGCACGTCCCGTGGCAGGTCCCTGACACGTCCAGGGCACGTCCCGTGATGCGTCCCCTGACACGTCCCCTGGCGCATCCCCTATTGCGCCCCTGACACATCCTGTGGCGCATCCGTGAGCCTGTGCCCCGTGTCGTGTCGTCCTTTTCGGAGCTGAGTCGGATTGAGGTCGAGTTGATTGAACGTCCTCCACTTTTCCACTTCAACTGGCTCTGGGGCGGCTACTGTGTGCTCAGGCAGCTCTAGCTTAAGACCCAGATCAGTTCGGTCAGGACTCTGATGCTAAGGAGGCCTCGATCCACAACGCTATAGAGCACAATCGAGGCATGACACGTCGCAGTTCCGCACGGCACAGCACAGCACAGCCCAAACACGGTAAACCAAGAACGATACATTGAGCATTGCAATTGCCCGTCGCCCGATCAAAAATCGGGAAAACGTTGCCATGCCTCACAATTCCATATCCCTTTCAGGGTTCGTGGGTCGATGTCTGACGATCCTGGGGCCAATTGAGGGCCCCAGGGACAAAACATAGTAAATTATCCGGGCGAAAGACCCAACAATATGCAAATGTGGGTACCGCAGATGTGAGAACCGCCATCGGTGGAGCTCGCGACGGAACCGCGAAATGCGCGAAGAGAGCGCCGAAATGACTTGGGGCCGCCATGCGGGCGCTGCCGCTGGGGTAGCCCGCATGGGGCGCAGAGATCAGGCGGAACGGGGTGTGCCAAAATGACGGGGTGGCGACATGCGGGCGCAGCCACTGGGGCCGAGGTGAAGCTCACCATGGGGCCACGAAACGTGTGAGGGATGTGCCCAAATTAGGGGAGGGGTGGCATGCGGGCGCAGCCACTAGGGCCTTAGGTGGAGCTCCCTCTGGGACCACGAAACGTGTAATGGGTGTGCCAAAATGGGGGTGTGGCGGCATGCGGGCGCAGCCAGTGGCGCCTGAGGTGGAGCTACCCATGGACCTATGGGGCCATGAAACGTGCGAGGAGTGTGCCAAAGTGAGGTGGTGACGGGATGAGGGAGAAGCGGGAGGAGGAGGAGAGAAGGAGAGGAGGTGACGCGGGGAGCTCTCTTCAGAACGAGGACCCAACACCACAGGATGGCTGGAAAAACTCACCGCTCCTCTCTTTCCGGAGCCTCGGATCTCTAGGTGGGCGGCAGCGGGCCTCCTGGCGGCCGGTGGAGGCGACGGCGGCGACGGCGGCAGCGGCGGCCGCGGCCGTGGCGGCTGCAATCGAGGCGGCCGCGGCCGCGGCGGTGTCGGCCGCCGCCACGGTTGCGGCTTGGCGCCGCCGTCGTCGTCGTCGTCGTCGTCGTCGTCGTCGTCGTCGTCGTCGTCGTCGTCGTCGGCGTCGTCGTCGTCGTCGTCGGCGTCGTCGTCGGCGTCGTCGTCGTCGGCGGCAGTGCCGGCGTCGGCTTGGCGACGGCGGCACGCGGCAAGCCTCTGGACGGCCCGGCGGCGGCCTCCGCGGGCCGCGGCGGCCCGCGCGCCATCGCCAGGAGCGCCGCCAGGGCGCAGAGCGCGGCGAGCAACCGCGGCAAGCCGCCACGGCCCCGCCGTGAGGGGGCCCACGGGCCACGTCGTCGCCATCGTCGTCGTCGCCGTCGTCGTCGTCGTCGTCGTCGTCGTCGTCGTCGTCGTCGGCATCGTTATCGTCTTCGTCGTCGTCGTCGGCGTCGTCTCGTCGTCGTCGGCGTCGGAATCGTCGTCGTCGTAAGCGGCGGCGACGGCGTCGTCGGCGGCGTCGGCGGCGTCGTCGGTCGGCGTCGTCGGCGGCGTCGTCGGCGTCGTCAGCGTCGTCGGCGTCTTCGGCGCCCTCCTCCCTCCTCCTCCTCCTCCGCCTCCTCCTGCTCCTTCTCCTCCTCCTCCGCCTCCTCCTCCTGCTCCACGATGCATAAATATGAATACTACTCTCCTCTCTCCCCTGGTGGCGTCCGGGGAATGGCCGCCCCCCCTCCGCGTACTAGTTTTTCACACACAGGACTCCCTGAAAGAGGTTTTCTCTTGGGTCATTATTCAAAATGCTGCTCTCGCTGAAACGCTGGCCTCATTTTCGGGTCCGAATCGTGCTCCCGCTGCATCGCTGGCCTCATTTCCGCGCTTCCGCTCGTTCCGAATCGTGCTCCCGCTGCAGCGCTGGCGGGCGTCATTACTGCCAGCGCCATGCAACGGCATGGTTTTCTGTCCTTCCAGAAAGGCCCCAAAATTTAGAAAATGCCACCCGAAAAAAAAACATCGGAACTGATTATTCATTCGGTGCCGGTTCGTTGATTTTTGGGGCCGCAGATGCCCCCCCCCCTGCTTTGGGGAGTCGCCACGCCACGCCACGTCCTCAATTCCGCGCTTCCGCACTTGAGTTTTGTTCAAAATGCTGCTCTCGCTGAAACGCTGGCCTCATTTTCGGGCTACCCCTCGTTCCGAATCGCGCTCCCGCTGCAACGCTGGCTTCATTTCCGCGCTTCCGCTCGTTCCGAATCGTGCTCCCGCTGCAGCGCTGGCGTCATCATTTCCAATGCCATACCACGGCATGGTTTTCGGTTTTCGATCCTTCCAAATAAGCCCCAACATCTAAAAAAATGGCATCCCAGAGAAACCATCGGAAGTGATTACTTACACATTCGGTATCGATTCGTTGATATTTTGGGCCGCGGAAGCCCCCCCCCCCTCACTCTGGGGCGTCGCCACGCGTTAATCTTCAACATGTGAACACCATGCTATGCCATGTAATGCTATACCATGCTACGACATCCGATTGTGCGAACAGAGAGGAGATCTACGCCATGGTGGCGGATGGGGGGGGGAGGGGTAGAACGTCAGATATGACGCGAGCACCTAGCTTGCCCTCCTCCCCCT